TGATGATCAGATAACCATTTTGGCATGAAGTGGACCGAAAACTTAATTTTTTGTTCTAAATGATGTGTGTCAAGTTTCGTGGAAATCGGTTCAGATTTAGATATAGCTCCCATATGTATTTTTTTTTTTTTTTTGGTTTTAATCTGTGTAATAAAATAAAAAAAATGGATTTCGGAAAATAGTGCTTATGTATGTGAAGAGTACTAAATGGTAATAAACATGATATTAGATGTAGAAATAGAGGTGGAATTCGGAACTATAGTACAACAAATTATACAGTATTCACGATTTCCATATGAAATATGTTTTTGTATTCCCTTTCCGCATACGAAGTAGCGGGCACTATCCCACTATTTAGTATTTCCGATATATTTTCCAACCGTCACGCGCCTTTTTATGACTTTTTTACTACTTTTGTTCTGATTTTATTATAAAACTTGTTTCCTGAAATACTACTTAAGCTAATCTTACTTAGCTTAATCTCAAACATGTTTATCATTAAATTATATTTGCTATTAAAAAATTAAACTGTAGAGATTTTCCCCCTCATGTGCATAATAAAATGTTAACAACTATCGTTGTATAAGGGATTTCAGAACACAATGACACATGACTAATATAAAAATTCTGTTCAATTTATTTTGAATATTGCAGAATTTTGGATGGCGAAAAACGTATTGGCAGCATGAAAATGCTACCCTGTAGAGGTTCAGGTATTTTCTTGGTCATATGCGCATTATCCGACCGATGTATTTCGGTTTTTAGAGTATACAAATCTTGACATACAATTTACAATGCCACAAATACGTCTCATATAAAGGTCCCGACGGATTCGATTTATATTGAATGCCCAACTCACTAGGGAAAATGTTGACTAGGACGAATTTAAATACTCTTTTATTTGTTTTAAAAATAATTAAAGCTTTCAATGCAGGTTTATTTTTTATTTCGAACAATATTAAACAGCCTCCTTACCTTTATATAATCACTGGCATCTTTTGTCGATAATTTCTTACAATCCGTTGTATTATGATGAAATATTGTGGTGCAGGTCTGATAGATGATTTGATTTTTCCACACCGTTGCTATAACAATAATAACGGCAATAACAATTTAATATTTTCACTAATTTTACAATTTCAAACTTTTCGTAATTTACACACCCGATAAATTATAGGCGAAGACTAAAATTAATACCACCGGTTCCACTAAATAGTAACGAGATTTTTGCCACATTGATAAACCCATCATCGAATTTTCATTACAATTCGGATCGACGTTCGTTGGCGTTATAACGTCTAGACTGCTATTCTGATTACTAGATTTTGTTTGCTGCTCATCGATTAAGACACTGCGATCATCTTCGATAATATCCATTTTTAGATTTTTATGGTCGTCATTCATGATTTGTGGTCAGCGAATAACTAACACTTTCAATAGCTACGTAGATCGGCCGCTCAATTTTGTTATTTTTTTATTTGTTTTTGTTTATGTGCGCCAGTATTTTTTTACTTTTTAATCAGTCAGGCAGTTAATTTCTTCATTTGTGACTTGAGTCATTTGTAATGGGTATGACAATTTCGAAACTAGGAGATTTTATGGGATTTTTGGTTGTAATTGCGCGCGTTTTTTCAATTAATTTAAAATTTACTTCCTTTTCAGTCAGTATTGAAGTGATGTCTGCATACCGTTGTCGTTAAAACACTAATGATGATATTAATACGACGAGTATTAGGCTAAATCTACTATGCCAAAAATAATCAAAAGAAATTGCGTGGGACACACACACACAAACACAATCATCTATAGCAGAATTTTGGAAACGCAGTTAACATATGCCCAATATCCCACAAATTGTCTGATATGCACAAGTGTGCTTGATTACCATTGTAAAAATAATTGGCCTGACAAAAACCCTTGCAATGCGTATTAAACCCCAACGAAAACAAGCTAATAATAATATTTTGTTCATAATAAAAGAATTTTTGTTATTACGAAATTGTTTTGCGCCAGGGAAGGGTATTTTTTTAATAGAACGCCCTCAAAGTTATCCAAGCAAAAATTGGATACAAAAACAAATAGTAGATATTCAGATTCAGTACTATTATTCACTGATCAACAAAACAACATAAGCAATGGCATATGCTATAACCGAATTTCATCGAAATTTTCCAGAATCTCATTTATCACCAGAAGTCACAAATGTGGAGTCCCGCTTCACATTGTTCAAGAATCCTTCAATATCACGGAACGCAGCAGAGCTGAAGCTGAGATTGCCCACCTCATGTAAGGCAGTATCAACTAATTTGCTCTTGTTATAGGTATGTTATGATTTGTTGATCTGTTTTCTTACTGAATTAAATTTGTCTGGGGTAGGTACCAGAAGGATTGTTCTGGTGGGACCCATCCTCGGACTTGATCAGAATAGGCAAAAATATTACGATGTGCATATGTTTTATCAAATGGGACATTCCATACGATTGTTATTAGATTACCAAATTTTAAAAATTTTGACAATTTTGTGGGGGCGGTACTAGAAGGACTGCGCCAATAACATGTGTTCATAACAGAGATGGAAGTTTCCAAAACACTTAACTTTTTTTCTGTTTACTCCGCGCTTTTTGTGTTAGCTAAGAACTTTCCGAACTGCACTCGTACACTTTGATAGACCCCATGTTTATTTGCACCAAATCCGATTTGAGGTATTTTTATTGTGCACTTCATGGTGGATGTTTGACCCACACGAATTTAACGACGATTTTCTTATTACTATCCAATTTAGTTTAAAAATTATGCACCTTAATTCCCTAAAAAATTGTTCTTCTCGGACATCCCTACTTTGTGCGAACAATAGCTTTATCCAAAATGAATCATTCAGAGAACTGGGATTTTAATATTTTACAATCATCCACTCGCTGTAGGCAAAGTGCGATAATGTAAGACGTCGTGCCGTTGGCTGAGCTATTGTTATTATTATTTTATTAAATGAAAGAAATAAACAAAGCTAATCTGGAACAAAAAGAATTCCCCTGTCAATGAGGGCGATACATATTTGCAAAGTGTCTCCAAGTTTGTTTACATCTTATATGTACAAGCTGCCCTGCATTGCAAAAAGGGGATTTTTTCTGTTAATACAATGACCTTGCCGGTATCAAGTTGGTGTCTTAGGCGCAGCCAGAGCAATTTGGTACAAGAATGGTATGAAAGAAAGCAGCATTGATTAATTCTGATGCGTAGCAATAAATTTAATAATTGACAAAAAAGTAGAAATCAAAGTACAAAAATACATTTCATATTTTTTTTTTTTTTAATTACACTGTGCAACAACAATATAAAGTAGGTTAACCCGGTAAAGTAGGTTAACCCGGTAAAAAGTTCTAATGCATATGCCGTTTTAGGGTTTCTTTTAGTCTTCAGGTTACTCAATTATGGAGGAATATTTAGTGAGTTAAAAAAAAAGAATTTAAAATAAACAAAAAAACATTAAATAACTTCTAGGTCGTAAATCTTATAAAACAACAAGTAAAAAAGTATCTAAAATCGTACCTCCGTATAAGGGTCTCATACGGAGGCTCTAATAAAACACTTTGTGAATTGTCTGGTAGGAGGTTTTTATCATTTGAAAAATACGAAGTACCAAATTACAGACAATTAGGTTGAAAATTTCGGCTAGTAATATTAAGATTCCGATTATGTTTTGGTATCTTTGAATTGACACTTTTTGAAAAATATACTAAGAGAAAGGTTTTTACATCTGTTTGATTTCGAACCTCTTTACCAAATTTCTTATCCCAAGCGAAATAAAAAATTGTGAAATTTGTTTTTATTTTATTTTTTTTTAATTTTATTTAGAGTTTTCACATTGAAAATTGTACAACATTTCTGAATTTAAAATTTCAAATTATGTTGTATACGAGTATATATGATGATCAGTGTAGTTTTAAATACACATACAGCAGTATATATTGTAATCGTTTCAGATACTTCTGTTTGTGGTTCAAAAATGTATGGATCTTGTGTTTTTGTTTGCTTTAAAAAGAGTTAACTTTATTTTTTATTGTGATCGTTAAGTAGAGTTCGTTTTGTGGTAACTTGTTAACAATAAATAACAATCCCACCACATTTTGGGGGGATATACAAGAATGCTGCTGACAGGACGCCTCTTCTATCAAAATCCTCTAGATACAATAATAGCAGCTTGAAATTTTTTTTTTCAAAAAATATATACCAATTAGTTTTATTGTTTGTTGTATTCTCTTGTTTTATTTTTATTAATGTTGTTGGTTGTTTTTGTTGTAACAATACATAATTATTCTAATAATAATATAATAGTAACTACAATATCATATTTATCATTGTTAACAGGATGGAGGAGAACTAATGAATGTGTGTGTTTTTATTTTTGTATTTTTTTCTTTGTTCAAAAATTTACATGATAAAATAAATAACTAAATAAATCAATGTATAATGAGAAAAATATATATGTTTTCATTATCATATTTATTGGCAATATGATTTAAAACTGCATCAGAAAAATAAAAGACAAACAACACGTCCTGAGTTAATTAACAACTTTTTTGATATGTAAAAACTATTAAAAAAATGAAACGCCGAAAAATCGATAATGCCTTATTTTCGAAAAATAAATAAAATAAAAAATAAAATAATGATATTCAATTCGAAATACTTAAAAGTACAACTTTTCAAAAAAGAAAGTGTGCTGCAAACTAAACTAAAAACAAATTTGTAAGGTTTAAGAACTAAAAAAGCTTTTCTACGATTTTAAATTAGGCCTTCGAAGCTCAATTAATCAATCTTCACCTCAAGCTTTTTTTGTTTGTGCAAAACTGAAATATAGTTGTTGTAGTTTAGAACATTCATATTTTTTGTTTACTCTAGACTGGCGGCGGCGGGGCTAGCGCATAGAAATCATATATGAGTGAAAATGATTTCGCTGTTTTTGTTGCGAGCGTACGCGGCGACATCATGGATGACAAAATTTAGGCCACGGCATCGGTAGAGCATTCTTCTTCTACGGTAATGTACAAACCTTCTTCCTCATAGGCAGAGTCATGTTTGGCCAATATTCTGAGTAAGGGACGCAATTTCAGCCACCATTGTGTCTTAGGAATACGTTGTCTACAAATGGATAAAAAAATGAAGATAACATATTAGTTGCAAATCATAAAAACTATTAGAAGAATTTTAGGTAGTTCTTCTGTTGGAAAAGAAAACAATTAAACTCTTCTGTCTTGATCTATATACTATTTCGTTCTGGTTTTATTAGAATATCTTTTTATAATCAAAGCTCTTTCTGAACTTCTATAAGATCATTTAGGATCTTATAGACACTTTTTGCGAATCTCTGAGTAGACCTTTTGAGGCATGTACATTATAATTCTTTTAATATAGAAGGTAATTATGATTTTCTAGGCTAATCTACTACTCTATCATTCCTCTAATAGAAATCTCTCATGGTCTTATATTAAAAGACGCTTTTGAATGTTCTTTCGTTGATATCTTTCTGTCTACTTACTCAAAGTTAGTTTCAGCAATTAAATCAGCCAATGGAGTAAATCTGTACTGACGTCTAATAATACCCAAAAGTACGGCAGATTCTTTGTTGGTGCACTTGATAGTGCCATCGGCTTGTTTGTTATTCTTGAATTGTTCAGAGAACCAATCAACACATTTGGCAGCCATTTTGGTACCCATGTTACGATCGAATGGTGTGGGTGAGCCACCCTGTTGCATGTGACCTAGAATGATGATGAACCCATTATTATTTAAATCCAATTGCTATATCAAATTTCGAACTTACCCAAAATATTCATACGGCATGAGAAAAGACCTTTGCCTTCTTCCGAATACAAACGATAAATAAAGTCGGTATTATAGTTTTCAGATGCCTTTTCATTACGCAAAATCAAACCACGTTGTACACCTTCAGCCATCTTCGAGGCCATGTGATAAACATCTTGTTGCAAGTCCTTGATAGAGAATTTCTCTTCGAAAATGTAGGCAGCATCAGCACCGCCAGCCAAACCGGCCAATGTGGCCAAATAACCACAATAGCCACCCATAGTTTCGATAACGAATACACGGCGTTTGGTACCCTGGGCCGATTGACGAATGCGATCACAAATTTCGGTAATCTCATTGAGACCAGTATCGCAACCCAAAGAGAACTCAGTGCCAGGTACATTGTTAGAAATGGTCGATGGAATAACAGCCATGGGAATACAGAATTCAGGGAAGTTTGCACGTTGATCGGCAATTTGTCCACAGGCATGGTAGGCTTCGAAACCACCAATGATCAGAAGACCCTGGATCTTGAACTCCTTGAGACGAGCGGCAATTTCATTGAACTTGCATTCGGGCAAGGTACGCTTGGTGCCCAAGAAAGCACCACCTTGGCCAACCCAACCGGTGACATCGGACCAGCCCATCTCCTTAATATTGCCAGCAATTAAACCTTCAATACCATCGTGGATACCGAAAACGGTATCACCGCGATAAATGCAATTACGCACAAAACTGCGAACGGCAGCATTCATACCGCAGGCTGGAGCACCAATGTGCATAACAGCCAAACGATAACCCTACATAAAATAACCAAAAGAAGAAGAGGAAGAAGATGTCAAAAAGGGAAACCACACACAGGCAAACAACACTACACCCACACTCACTTGTCCTTCACGCTTTGGTGGCTTCAAGCGGGTCAACATCTTGTAGGTTTCCAAATTACGTTCAAACGAACGACCACGTAGTTTTACAGCCAATTCCCAGTTCTTTTCGGCCATAGCCTTGGCAACAGCCTGAGTACGCTCTACACACTCCATCAAGGGTACACGTACAGCTTGATTGCCATCCAAGGAGACGACTACAGGTACAGATTCAGAAGTAGCTTCCATTAAAGCCAAGGTGGCTTCGGCACCCATGCGACAACCCAAAACACGATCAAAAGCACTGGGATTACCACCACGTTGGACATGGCCCAAGACAGTAACGCGGGTATCCTGTTGCAATCTGTCCACGACAACTTTTTTAACATCCTCAGCGGAAATGGGTTTGCCATCACGATCAATAGCACCCTCAGCAACAATAATAATATTTAAGCGTTGACCAGCATTACGCTCCTGTTGGTTTTGATGTTTTAAAACAAAAATGGTGATTAGATTATTTGGAGATATATAAAGAAAATGATAATGAAAACACACACACACACACAAAGGTATCTAGATAACAACAACTTAATTTGAAAATCGATAAAACATTTAGTTACAGCCAATTTAGAAAATTAATTTTTAGATTTTAATATTTTCACATTAAGTTGTACAAAAAAAAAACGTTAATAAACATTAATATAATTAAACTAAAGTTACAGTACAATGTATTGAGTGATCATGGATCGTGTATGGAGATAGATATGCATATGAGAGAGATTACGGATTACATACAAATGTGATACACATGGAAAAAGAAATCAAACCAACACCAAAATGAATGTACGATAAATAAATGATGATGATGATTATGAAAAGCAAGACACACTGTGTATAAAAAGCATATACCAAAAATAAAAATAAACCAATTAAGAATTAAAACAGATCTAATCAATAATAAAATAGGTATTTTGGACGATGAGTATCATACCTCTTTTTATGCTACTTAAAATCTAAAAGTAAAGAAGAAAACATGCTAATAAACGAAAATAATACCCAGTTTTTTTTAATCTCAACGTAACTGTATTTCCCAATTTTAAGTCTAAAATTCAAATTTATCCATCATCGTATTATGACAATTACAAAACAAAAGTTTAAATATCTCCCCAAAATTTCCCAAAAAATAGACATCATTCATTGTCTGTAGTTAATAGTCCCAGTTTGTTGTAAAACATCTTTCTAACCTGAAGTAATTTTTCACATAATACATCTCTCCAATTTTCACTAGCAGGATCTTCGGGTATAAATATGTAATCTGAACCAGAGGACATACCAGCTTGTAGGGCTAAATATCTAAATAAAATGATGGGTTATAAAGTATACATCAACATGGAAACAAAAACAACTTTTAGATGTGTAACAAAAATATTGAAATATTTTGGTCAATTTTGAAAACAAACAGACGGTGGTGAATACCACCACTTTAAGTAAAATAAACAAATAAAACAGATATTAAATTCGAACAAGTCCGAACATTTTAAATTCTTAAGTGTATAGACATTTTGGAATATAAGTGTGTCCAGCATAAAAAAGTAAAGCTGCTATTAGTCTTCTTTATATAGAGGTGAACTTTTAAAGTCCTCCTTCTACAGGCAAAAAATCATTTGCAGGTGTTCTACAGACAGAAGCTTCAAACATGTTTTCTATGGATGTGTAAAGGTCATCTACAGACAGACCTCCTATAAACAGAAGAACTTCTGCAGATCTTCAAACGACAGAAGATCTTATATTGGTATTCTGTATATAGAATGGATTTTAAATATCTCTGTACAGAATAACTTCTACAGCTCTTCTATTTTACGAAAGGAAATTTACGAGTATTCTCTATACAATAATCAACTTCTAAAAAAGGCTAAAATTTTGCGATTTAACACACACAGATATATGCGGTTGATGTTTGCTGGAAATCACTAAGTTTGTTTTTAAATAACTTTTTAATTTTAACACAAAATTTCTGACCAAATTTCCAAGAAGCTTTCTACAAATATTTCAAAGAAAGTAGCGTGAAAACCAAGTGTATTTTTTTTTTTTTTGTATTTTATGAATCCAAAATTCCTATAATTTTGAAAACAAAATTAAATAACTAATGAAAATGGTGCAATGTTGTACTTTATATATACATATGATACAATATTTGGTGCATGTGTATGTATGATTTATGATATATGATTTATAAAGAAAAGTGTTTGAAATTGAAAAAACATTCAAAGCTATTTGGTTGTGGTAGCTTGCAGCTAATATTGGAAATAATAAGCTTAAAAACAGCCAAAAAATTATTAAATAAAACAAATGATTTAAAATTACTAAACGTAATATAAAAGCAACACATTGAAACAACAACGGTAAATTGTTGGAGTCTTTTTGTTTTTAACAACAACAACAAAGCCTTTTATAGCGACTTCTAGTTTGGTTTGCAAAATTGTCTCTTGCCTGATTCAATTTATGGCAAAGTTTTTCAGGCCAATCAGTTGATGGAGGAGCTTCAGGAATGAAAATAAAATCAGCTTCACATGATAAACCAGCTACAAGAGCCAAATAACTGCAAAAAGAAAGTTGGTGGAAAAGACACAAAGAAAACGGAAAAATGGATGATAAAACATACAGTAACATCAACAACAGAGATCGATCAATTTAAAAAAAAAGAATTTTTATGAAATAAAAAAACCAACAACAAATCTGCAATGTTTGAAATTTGGAGCGAAACAATCAGGACAACATAATTTGATTTCCCCAACTAACAATGTGAACACGATGGCTGTTGCCCTCTCTCCTAAGCCTAAGGAAAGTTTTCTTGTGGTTAGTTACACCATACGCACTTGTTCCCCAAGAAATACAGACAACAAAATAGAATATACAAATTAAAAAAATAAATAAACAAATGTGCTGAGTAAGCTTCTAAACCAATCTCATTTTAAATTCTTTTGTTTTTGATATGATCCATATTTTTCGCTAGCTAGGAATTTTCTAATGAAAATCTGGGGTGTGTGTTTTTGGAAAAGAAATATCTAAGCTATGTATTATGATACCAAAAGCCATTTTCTTATACAAAAGGTCTAAGAGTACCATGTGACCACACTAGGGTAATAAACAAAATTCAAGCGATTTTCTTATAATAATACAATTTTGATTTGATTTTGTTTTGTTTGGAAACTTTCTGTAAAGTATATGCTTCGGATATATAAGTAAATGAGTGAAGAAGAGTGGAGAGCAATTTACACAAAAAAAACTTATAAAGAAACGGAAACACTTTTCATAGAAAGAAATCTTGCCTGTATTAATTTATCACAAAGTTTATCTGGCCAATCAAATGGTGGTGGCGATTCAGGACAAAATACATAATCAGCCTCAGATACAATTCCAGTGACTACGGGTAAATAACTAATTTAAAAGTGTTAATTATTTCTTTATGAAAAAAAAAACAAATATGTTGGGAGTTATTGTTGACAACAACAATAAAAAGATGCTCAAAAGCCAATTGCTGGGAACATTTGTTGCATGGGAATCAATAAGGCATTTGGTGGTTTGTTTAATTTTGAAAAAATAAGGAAGGTATAGTATTTTGTGGTGGGCGGTATGGGGAATATTTTTTGTTTTAATTGTTGCTCCTGTTCGAAAATTTATATAAAAAAGAAAACAAATCTAATTTTTCAAAATCATGAAACTTACCCACAATGTCTACCCATAACTTCCATAATGAATGTACGTTGATGAGAGTAAGCAGTACTGACAATAGCATCAATGGCCTCAATAATACGATGCAAAGCCGAATCAGTACCAATTGTCATGTCGGTACCACAGAAATCGTTATCAATGGAACCAACCTATAATAAATAATCAGAAAGGAATAAATTAAATTAGAATTGTATAAAATTCAAAAAAGGAACAAATTCGATTTAGTTACTGCAGACTCGGTTTTTATTTAAATGTTATTATCACCAATAAAATGTAAAGCAATATAATTTTACATTTTTTAATGGCCATTCAAATTCGCTAGGGTGTACCGCATTATTATGATATTCAGTATTTGTCTACTTACCATACCAACAATATGCAAAACAGCATATTTGTTCTTTTGCTCCTCCGTAATTTGACCATTCTTCAAAAGTTCTTCCAACAACGATGACCATTCTTGACGGAAAAGATTAGCACCAGTCAAAGAACCATCACCACCAATTACAACCAAATTGGAAATTCCTCTCTGGATGAGATTATTGGCAGCCTTCAAGCGGCCAGCACGTTGCTTGAAATCCATACATCTGGCCGAACCAATAACAGTGCCACCACGATGAATAATGGACGATACAGAGGCCCAGTTAGCTTCAACAATGTTATCGCCACCATCAACCATACCCTGGTAGCCTTCACGAATGAAGTAGGCCTGCAATGAGAATGAGGAAAATAAATAATTATTAAAGATTATTTATTGATAATGAGATTGAAAACATAAATTTTGAATAAATTAATTTGTATAAATTCTAATTTAAGAGAATCCATTGAAAATTTTAAATATTCAAAATTAAAAAAAAAAATAGAAATATTTTAAAATGGAAATAATAGAATACAAAATTACAGTCAATCTGGTTAGAGAATGTGAATTAATCAAACTGGTATAGGACCTGGTCTCGAAACATTTTGAAATATTTAGCGCATACTTTTTCCAAAGTTTCGCCGAGACCTTGGATTGGGCCATACCTTGTAAAATTCACTAAGGCAATATGGATATCAATTTGAAGCGGTTTAAGTGATGATTACAAATATCAAATTATTTTTTGAAAAATTCTATACCCCCTTCGATGTTGGCTTACAAAATTCCACTGGAACAGAACTTCCTTTTAATAAGAAAATATTACGGGCTTCTTCGATAAAAAATAATTGCTTGCTAATACTTCCAAGCACCATTTCAATCGCCGCAAGAACTATTTGTGCTACAAATTTCAGCACATTCCGAGGCAGGGTCTTAATATAGATTAAAACCAAAAACACTTAACATTGTTTTTATAATATTTAGAGGGAATTATCTTATGCAAATTTTTCAATAGATTGTTTAATATTAAAGTTTAATTTATTCATAGTTTAGAGGGTGTAAAATATTCGTATCGTCAAAACATAACAGTTTTTATTGGTTTTCTCATAGTCTTGCTTAGATATTGGTCCTCTAAATAAATTAAATTGATTGGTTAGAAGTCGCCAACCTTGTTTATTGCTGTCAATAATCAATTAACTTTTTGTTTTTTATAAATAAAATTTTGACAATTTATTAAACATGAGACTATTCATATCAAGGTTAAATGGCACCATAACTTTTGATCTGCCATTTTATATAGATGAACATCTTCTGGTAAAAAAATAGTAATACATTTGTATAGTTGTAGAATTCAAAGAGATACATTCCAAAACTTTATGTTCAAAACGTTCACTAATATTTTTTTCTCCATAGGTCTACTACAAAATTCAAGACAGTACAATTAATCTAATAATTGGATTTCGTAAAAACCCTAATAACAGGTTTTTACGTTTTCTTTTTTGAAATATTTTATCTTCATGAGTAAAATATCGAAATCGCTTGAAATTGCACCATTTAGCGTAGAGTATGCGCCTATAACAAACATTTTAAAAATGTCTCAATTGGATAACGGAATAACGTATACCCACCACTTAAAATAATATTAGAGGTTCTTCACAATTAAAAAATTCAGTTTTCGAAAATCAAGTATAGTAATAAAAAATTTATACTCATGATTGTCTGAAATACTGCACTCTACCTGAAACAAAAATGACGTTGCGTGTGCAAGTCATTTGGTAAAACATGAGTAATGTGACGACAGAAGGTCAATGATCTCGGATCATTATGGGCAAGATGTTGTCTGAACGACTGTCAATGGCACGTAGTGGTTGAATTTTGTTTTCTAAAATAATATCTGACTTCCTGTTAAAATTTTTTCCAAAAGGCTATTTTCAAAAATATCAGTTAAATAAAATTGGAAATCCAGTATTTTATCTTGAGAGAGTAAAGAAGATATTTTTAAATTAATGCAGAAAAAAATTAAAAGAAATTTTGAATTTATTTTTTTATTTAGCATAAAATATAAGTATACGATGTGTGAATAAGCTATTTAACTTAATTTATCATTTCATTCAAACCGCCAAACCGATTTATTATTCACCGCAAGACAATACGTAGCAATATGCACGTAGCTCCTTAATAAAAACTCCATTCCATATGATTCACATATTTATAATTTCATCATATTGAACATTCCAACATAATGTGCACAACAAATGAGTTATTAATTGCCTAAATGCGTTTTTCTAAACATTAAAATGATAGTCTACTTATTTCAAAACAAACACTAACAGATGATACCGATTAAAAACTAGTTTTTAAAAAATTTAAATAATTTTTTCAACAGCTGACCATGAAAAGTAATGCCAACTTGACGTTTGTTTGTCCGTTACCAACATTTCGTCTTAATTAAACCGTTGGGTAGTCTTTCAAAATCTTAAGAAGATATAACATTTTTTAAATGATCTCATGTTTTCAATTAAATTATGAACATCGAATTGTGCGTTAATAGATACAATGATGTACTCATGTACATACATAGTAGTATTTATTGGACAATGTCATGTCAAATGATGCATACCATAGCAAGCAAAGCCTTATAATAACAATAATACAAATATATGTATTCGTTATCAGTTCAAGGAAGTCTTTTTTAATAAAGAATTCTTTTATTACCAAATTGTATTATTAATTTTTTATATAAACCACCGCTAACTTGTCACCCACATTCCAAAAAATATAAATAATTGTCAATAATAAATTCCATGTCAATCACCCCTAATTCTACTTCCCTAAGGATAATCAAAAAATGACGCAATTTTTTTCAAGTATCAATTACCAATTAATATATAGATTATCACTTAATTTACTACAATGACAAATTAATTAAAATAAAAGAATATTATTACATCATAAACAAATAAAATTCAATTGCAAAAAAAGAAAAATAAGACTACATATCTCCTCCCTCTGCATAATGCACAATGTAAACAAAACGCTCATGGCTCTCGCCCCTATCGTATGCACTCTTTTGCAAATTCTCTCTGTTATCAAGCGGCTTGGTCTGGCTAGCTGTCATTAAACGATAAGACAGAAGAACCGTGCATTGCAATAACTTGATGAAATTAAGTAAACAAAATAAACAATGTAATTGTTTTAAATGTACTTTCATTGCACATACAAATACAAACACACAGATATTCTTGAAAGCGGTCGAAAGAGGAGAGGGAGGGAGAGAGTTTTGGGTGTGTTGTATTGTATACACACACACACACTAAACATTATCCTAACTGAGGGGCCACACGAAACGGCGGAGACACAACAAAACATCTGTTTATATGTATTATTTTTTGATCCACCAAACACAATTGAAAGGAAAATTATACGACAATCCAAAAATAGCAAAAACGAACGAATGTCACACAAGAAATAAAATATATTAGGAGATTTTTTATACGACGACGTCGACAGTGAATCTTATCATCTAAATATAAAAATTCTACAACCACTGAACTAATTGGGGGCCATGAAAAGAATTTAAAGGTTAATGGGCTAATGGCTCCTATCCACAAAATTCTTGTTGACAAAATAGAAACGAAGAGATAAAAAATGCAAGAAGTCATAATCTTACCTTGCATCCCAAATAGATGGCCATTCGAACACAGGCACGAACAGCGGCATTCATACCCTGCGAATCACCTCCACTGGTGAACACGGCAAGACCTTTACCCTTATGGGAGCCACGTTCGATGAAACGTTGTTTAACCGTTGTAGTCGTCGACATTTTCACGATTTCTTTCTTTTTTGTGCTATACAAAAACACTTGGGTTTTCAATTAAATAATTTTTTTCTAACGTATTTTGGGAACAACGGTTTTTCGTCTACGTTTTTCTTCTCCGTCGAACACACACGCACTTTTATGTATACTCAGAAAATTACCGTTGATGTAAATGGAAAAATGTAATTTGTTGTAATCACTTTCCCTTCTTGTTTTTGTGGAAATTACGAAGGGACAAGTGAAGCTTTTTATGCGTTGAGGCTGGAATTATGAATGAGTTTTTGCCGAAATTGAATTTTCTCTCAAGGTGACACTGAGTTTGGCAGTTTGGGCTTTTGACAATCCGCGAACTGACATTTCAAGGTGACCTTTGCCGTTTCTATGTAAGTGGATGCTTATATGGTGGCGTATGATATATGGCGAATGGCAAAGTAGCAATGAAGTCATGTAATTTTTTGGGGAAAATTAATATTACCTAAAATGTTTGTATTTTCATAGATGTTTCCTATGAAAATTAAAAACAAAACAATTTATTATTATTTAAATTATATATCTTAGCACTCATATTTTATTTGCAAATATTTAAAATCAATATATATTAAAGGTTTTAGTATTAAGAAATGAATTTCAATTAATAAACAAATAAATTATAAAAATAAATTTGCAAACATGATGTTTTCTCAAATAATTGTAATAATAGTTTTTTTTATATATATTTTCTCTAAATTTTGTTTAAAAAAGCCAAATCCAGACCCATAAAGGGTTGTATACAAAAAAATTGATTTTTTTGACATTTTACTTCCGTTGCTGTTTAGGAATTGCCTTAACTCTGTGTATTTGTAAAGGGTAATGTAGATATACCGATTAAATTATTGATGGCAGAAGTAAAATCATGTAATATAAAGATGCCTTATTTCAATTTATTTACCGCCTAAATTTAACGTGTTCCAAATTCAGTTTTCAGCTATAATAATATATTTAATTTACATAAATAAATCACAGGATGGTCCACCTTTTCAGTTTTTTATTAACATTTTTTTAGTTCTGCAACAGAGCTTTCAGATGTAATGATAATTTCTGGACATGTAGGCGATTCTGTACAATTTGTTGCCGTTAATTTACTGAATATTATTTTTTTAATTAACGAAATCGATTTTCCCTCTATAAATGTGTACAGTTTTGCACTTTTTAAGCTCCAGAACAGACTTTACATACTTGGTTAAAAAAAAAATATTGCGATAATAATGTATAACATTGCTATATTCTGATCTTAATTTTTCCAGTATTGACCAATATGACATTCCCTGAATTCATAGAATTAGCGTTGTCTCAGGTCTGACAGTTGTGGAGGCTCAAGTGACCTGGATAAAATTAATATAATAAAACAATACAATTTTCTTTTATTTGTTTTACATATATTTAGTTATGAAAACATATATTTAATTATTAAAAAATGTGTTAACATATGTCCTATTTTAACATTAACTAATATCTACGATCCCTGCGATCACGATCTCTATCGTGACGATTTCGTTCGCGACGATCATAGTCATCCCTTCGATCGTAATCATCTCGACGATCATAGTCATCCCTTCGATCATAGTCATCTCTACGATCATAATCGTCTCGTCTTCTATCCTTTTCACGATCCCGCTCCCTTTCTCGTTCATCATAACGATCTCGATCTCGGCGATCATAATCACGATCCCTGTTACGTTCACGCTCTCGTCTATCACGATCTCTTTGATAACCGTCAACTTCGTTATAATCACGAGATCTAATTTGACTCGTACTGGCAGTTTCTCGACGTTCAGGGGATGATGACACAGATTTGGAACGTTCTTTACGCGATTTCCTCGAGGACGGTTTAACTTCTTGTTCGGCCGCCGGTGGTTCTTCGTCACTTATAACATCTTCATCCAAGTCCTCATCCAGCGGTGAAACTTTTGGTTCCAATTCATTATTCTCCTCGAGTACGGCTCTCTTCTGCAATCGCGGCAATATAATATCACAAACACGATCGCTACGCAACAGTTCATCAATAAATTCATCCATATAGACAATTTCAAAGTGACCCAATCGATTTTGTCTCCTCAATTTACGATTGTCTATATACAATGGCTCCAGGTATTTATAACAATCCAGCGAACTGCCCGTCAATCGGAGATAAAATGCACCCAATGCTCGTACATATTTGAACTCTTCATTTTTGATAAACTCCACAACGATATCCTTTTCCGGTTGGATTTGTAACATCTTCAAGGTGAGACATAGAAATTGTGTCGGTTTAATGTTACCACCATACACGCCGCCAATATAACGCAATTCCATGGCTTTGTCGACCAACAATTCTGCGGTTAGGGCAAAACATTGTTCCTTCCAATATTTCGAGTCATAGATGCGAGAACGAATAATTTTCTCAATGAGATATTGTGGATTGGTGCCATGGATATTTTTGGCTTCTTTCACTGTGCGATTCGCCATAATTTATTGTTTATTTTTATTGAATTTATTAAAACATTTGTTTTATGTTTAGAACACCACGGTGAAACAGATGTAAACAATAGGGATATGTAGTTCGACTTTTGGCGTTATGAAATGTCAATGTCGGCTTTTGAGAGAAAATGAATTTATCGATTATTTTATGTTCTATCCGATAGAAGATAGAATTAATAAGGTAAATGCATTATTGTACTTATATTCTTATTTTTATTATAATGTATTGCACTAATAATTAGAACCTTATTACAATTAGTTTTTTCCCGTACTTGAAGAATCTATTAGATTTTACTTTTTCTTCGATATCATAAAAGAAAATTCGTTATCGTAGTAAAAAGTGGTAGATTCTTGCAGTACGGGAACAGACCAAATATTTTATCACACAGAATATATTGAGAAATGCTCTACAAATTAGAAAAGAATCAGGGATTTTTATTTATAGTTATGTTATAAATTTTTATTGTTTTAAAATACAAATAATAATATGACAGCTCATTACATTCTGCATGATAAATTTTTATCAGGAAAGGGCTAAGCAGAATGCTCGCGTTGAGCCATCCGTCGCGTTATATGTTATCGAAAATACAACAACCACAAGGGAACGATATGTGTTTGTGTTATCATTTCCTTGTGGTTGTTGTACTTTCGATAATATATTACGCGACGGATGGCTCAACGCGAGCATTCTGCTTAGCCCTTAATCATTTACACCCAATTGGTCTGTTCCCGTACTGCAAGAATCTTTGTACTATGATAACGAATTTTCCTTTATGATATAGAAGATCTAGTAGATTTTTGCAGTACGGGAACAGACCATATGAGCCATTAGAGTCTTTTCAAATCGCGTTTTCTCTTTACCCTATCTTTCTATTCGAACTTTTGACTACTTGAAAAAAATTTGAAAATCTGACGTCTTCATCAAACTAGTGATGACTGCCTCTTTTTGTACTGCATATCGATTAGTCAAAAGTCGATCTCCATATCCCTAACACAAACGTCAAAGCCGATGACGCACTGTCGATTGGAAAATTATTAAACTACCGAAGAAGAGAAAGAATAGATCGCAATAACAAATACAATTTTTTTAAACGTAATTTAAGGAAAATCCAGGAGTAAAAACCACACAGCCAAAATGAGTTTCTTTGGAAAAATGTTCGGTGGCAAAAAGGAACAGGCGCCCACAACTGGCGAGGCCATACAAAAGTTGCGTGAGACCGAAAATATGCTGATCAAAAAGCAAGAATTTCTAGAATCAAAAATAGAAGAGGAATTGAATATAGCCAGGAAAAATGCTTCCAAAAACAAAAGAGGTAAGTTGTCAGTGGAGGAGACTGTTCCACTCCATAGCAATGCACTAAGGAGGTTAAATTCCTAGTTGCATTGTGGAATAGGTGGATAATGGTGCGAAGTTTGTTGATGGCGTAGAAGGATGATGGTGGTGTTGTACACAGATGATGATAATAATGATGATTATGAGTCATATAAAGTGTTTGTGTGTTTTTGTCAACAAAACAAATAATGTACCCGAACTCTGAGATTGCTATTTTATTTGAATTGAACATATCTTTCTTTTTCGCTTGTTTCTTGTCTATTATATTGGCTAACCATGAAAAACACTTTCCTGATAACACAATGATGTCAATGTCCGTATCCGGTCCTGGCTGCATCTACATTACAATGGTCATGTCCATTACATGTACACATGAACAGAAAGTAATATTCGAATCCAATGATAACAGTTGCCTTTTTTGTGTTGTGTTGATGTCCAACATTAGAATTTGTAATTCGGATTTTTTAAAATTGGCCAATTTTTCATAATATTAAAATTTCTTTTCTTTATAATTTGTTTCCAATTTGAAAATGGTTATGAGACTTTCTGACTGCCGTTTAAATTAAGGAATAGTGGAAAATACTGGCCAATGGGAACCAATGTACCGTCTGCAAATGTTACATGACAGAATCATCTATCAAAATATGCCTGCTATATGAAAGTCATATACTCCATTTACATTTCACAATGCTTTGTTATAATTTGTTTTCTTTTTTTATTTACAAAATTCACAGTTATTCAAAATTGGTTATGGTTGCATTGTCTTGTTATTTGCAATGAAGCTAATATTCCATTTTTTTTGCATAAATTCCAGTGGCCTTACAAGCTTTGAAAAAGAAGAAACGCTTAGAAAAACAATTGCAACAAATTGATGGCACGCTATCAACAATTGAAATGCAGCGTGAAGCACTGGAAAGTGCCAACACAAATACTGCTGTGTTAACAACAATGAAGAATGCCGCAGATGCCCTCAAAGCCGCCCATCAAAATATGTAAGTGTGACGAAATATTTTAAAATTTATATGGTGTCAAAAATCTGATGGTCTATAATTTAATGCTTTTCTCTTTTTCCAGGGATGTCGACAAGGTTCACGATATGATGGACGATATTGCCGAACAACAAGATGTGGCTCGTGAAATTTCCGATGCCATTTCAAATCCAGTTGCCTTTGGTGCTGATATTGATGACGAAGATTTGGAGCGTGAATTGGATGAATTAGAACAAGAGAACTTTGACAAGGAAATTATTGGCATACCCGAACCATCTGCCACATTACCCGAAGTTCCAGATGAAGATGTTAGCGAAAAAGCCAAAGAAAAGAAAAAAGCAACAACAACAAATGCCACAGCAGCAGCCGCCGCCGATGATGGTATGTTACAATTAAATAATTTATTTTTATTTAAATTAATTTTTTGTTTTCCATTTTTTTAGATGATCCCGATATGAAACAATTATTGGCCTGGGCTAATTAAAAAACAGAAACAAATAGCGTAAACGTTTGATATCTCATCTAAGGAAGGAAGACCATTTCAAAGGTCGTTAATAAACAAAAGAAAGTTTTATTTTTGTATTAAGCCTACATATAATAATTATAACTAAAAGGATAAACAACAAAAACAAATCTGCAAATAATTTGGCATAACTAAAAATATATAGTATTTATCAGCATTCACTGCAAATTCATCACGTGGTTTTTTGATTATCGTTTGAAATCATGGTTTATAATATTGAGTTACTCAAAGAATCTGTAGTGTTATAGTTTATTTAATTGCAGAATTGAGTTTTTTATGTATTCACCCATCCTGTATCATTTTTCTAATTTTAGTTCTTTGTGTGTTGTGTGTTCTTTTTTAAACAATTTGCTATAGGCTTTAAATATATATAACATAAAATCATAATCTAATCATATTTTATTAAATTAAACAAACAACGCAAAATTGAAAAACAACAACAACAAACAAATGAAAATACATTTATAAATTGGAAAAATGCAAAATTTTGTGAAAATAAATTATTAACAATAAAGAAAATAGGGGGATTTTTTTAGGAAACTGGTGTGAAATATATAGAAAGAGATTATTATTTGTGAAACCCGCAACGATATATAGTTTGAAGTGATATGCTTTCTTATAAACAAATGTTTTGGTAACAATTACTGATAATGGGATAAGAAAGAGAGTTTATTGTTGTGTTTGTTTTAGATAAGGTCACGGAAATGTATTTCGAATATCTTAGATGCATTATTTTAAGTCTTTAAGTAGAAGGTTTGTTATGAATGTATTTCGGCTGGTCATCTAATTTAAAGATATATAAACCCAGATAAATTTGAAGTTAACCTATATAACGTCATTAAATTTGAAAATTATATTTTATCAAACCCGACTTCGGTTAATGTGTTTTTTAAAACTCAAACTATAGAACAAATAACTTATAATAATGAATTTTAATTTATTTCGACTTCAGTTACAAAACACATTTTAAGGCATTGTTTTCCATCCACCCCGTAACTATATTCTTAAAATCAATATGAGGTGTGATGGCTCCATAAATTAGTCTTGATAACAAGAGTAGATAATTAGAATGAGTAATATTATTATTGCTTGACAATGTGCCTTTTATGCTTTATTTATTTATTAGATAATTGCTTCATAATTTTTTTATACCTGAACGCCGTAATTGAAACGTCCTTTATAAGCCATTTCTGTAGACTTCGTTCATGAGAGGTTTTGTCCACTTTATAGTTTGAGGTTTTGGCTGATGACATATGTTTCAGAATGTCACAAATAAAGGATGTCTAAATTACAGAGATAAAAATTTGGACTAATTGATTGACAGCTTCCAATGTACACAGAAGGATTTCTTTGTTTTCCTTAATGTGTAGTTGAGATGGCTTTCGAAACTTTGTGCCTCTTTTGGGCTTTTTCCCAGATGTCATGAAGAATTTCTCGCTTTTTACACATTTTCCAAAATAGATCTCTGTCTGTTCATGAATATTTGTGAGCAGAGTATAATTCACATTTATAGTTCAATTTCTTATTTCTTTTTATAATGGGCGTATTTAAATATGAATACCTTGACCACTATATTCGAACGAATATAGATTCCGTGAATATTCGCCTGATGGTGGAGTGTATATTATTTTATTTTCAAATTTTTATCGCAATATTCTCGAATTTCTTGGTATATTTAATTAATACAGTTTCAGTTTTATATTACTTTTATAAGAAGGCAAGGACATTTCGAAGGATTCAATATTAAAAGTAACTTTATTTTTATTTTTTTACTTTCCCCTTCTATTAGTAAACCACCTTTGCGACAATTTTATTCTGTTAAAAACGACTAAAAATCGAAATGATTTATTCCGTTCTCTTCAAAATTAGAAGTCTTTGTAATATAATGCATTATCTGATCTATAAACCCCCAGAAATGATGCCCCTTAATATGCATTTTAACACAATTACAAGCCAACTCTACAACAATTAAGATGACAGTTTTTTTCTTTGGCCCACTCCATATGTACTTGTCAAAATTGACCAATAAAAACGCCGGTATTAATATGGGCATAAATGATTGACCTTGTGCCCATTATTACAAATAAAAATATATATTGAATTTCCCACTTGCTGCTGCCGTTCGATTGTTTTGTATACAAATCAAAGCGGTTGTAAAAATGCAGCTGATGGTGGTCAGTGTACAACAAGAAGTAGTAGTAGCAACCAATGGATGGCTATACCTGATGTGAATAATTAATTTCAAATAGCAGCGACTTATTTGCTTGCGCGTTGATGAATGGGTGACAAATGGCATGTAGTCTCTCCCCCTAGTCATTGACATATCAAAGAATTAAGCAATTGTTTTTTTTTTTAATATTTTATTTTCCTATTACCAAAAGTTGGGATAAGTTTTGAAACTTCTGCAAAATGTTGTGGCCAATTAATTGTGGGGGAATGGTAAATTAGTAACACAATTATATTACAAATTTTAGTCTTAAACAACAGCTTCAGCTGTAAGCAAGCACATTTTTAGGAAACACAAAAAAGTTAGAAAAGAGCGCCATGAGGGGAATATTGGCTGCCGCTTTGTTGGTATGAAATAATAAAAATCATTTCAAACAAGTAATATTTTTATTCATTTAAAAATATATTTCTAGCTTTTGTTGGGTGCATTTTTACCACTCAATCAAGCTTTACTTCATGATATACATGAAGTAATTGATTTCGATTCGGCTAATTTACGTGACTTCCAGTATTTCAAAAATCTTCCCTCACAAGATCCCAAACGAGCTGGTCAGGCGAATTTGTTTTTGGAACATTTCCAAAAGAAGAAGGCCATATTGGATTATGTGGAACATCTGTTTTTGGGTAATTCCCCCTTTACAAAGGAAAGTGAGATACCCTTTGATCCCCATTTCGGTCGTGCATGGCGTCCATATTATGTGCGTAAATATGGTTGGCGTGGAGAACGTTTAATTGATTCGTTGGGCCGTGGTTATTCTTTGAACGAATTACGTAAATACGGTGCCATACCCAAAGAGTATGGTACAAAATATTATCCCAATTGATGTGAAGTGAAATGGAAAAAGAAATAAGAAAAGTGATATTTTATTTATTTGTTATTTATATTATTTATTTAAAAAAATAATGAGTTGTACAAAAATCTATGGAAAAACTAGTGTTATACTCTTCTCTTTTGTGTGGATATATACAAAACGTTGTTGCCTCTTATGAAGGCGTCACCGTATTTATTTTTAAGTTGGCCATTGACATATTCTTCAGTTTGATCGAGGGCAATGTTCATGTAGCCATCCAGACATGCTAGAACGCCTGTAAAGAAACGGAAATGTTTAAATTATATTCATATGTGTTGTGTCTTATACTACTAAAGAGGAACATGTACCGCCATATTATGTCTAGCGTATATAAATGAAATAATTAGTTTTAAAGTTTCGTTTCTGCATTAAAAATATTGGGAGATCAAATGCGTACTATTCAAAGGTGTGAAGCTTTTTCAAATAAAATCAATTATTAGTTTCTGGGTTTTAACTAAACGTGTGAATTTGATAGCTTCACAAGTCATTGTAACTCAAATGGGAATTAAAAATTATACAAATCGAATGAGACTCGAGCTCAAAAATAACATTACAGACCGGGATATGAAAAATATAAATATATATAACGCAAATTTTTCAATTTGTTATTTCAATCTGATAGAAGATGCCGCTCTGTTCCATAAATTGGAAAGTTTCACCAGTTATGACTAGGGGGTTAGACCAAGCATCATTCATTCAATATTGAATAAGTCTGCTTTGTGGAGATATGGGTACATATCACTATTAACATCGGTATCTTTTTGGAGGTATCCTATGTACAGACACATGTCCAGACATTTACTCATACCCCGGAACTAAGCAGACAACCTACGACCTGGCATACAAAGGCAAATATCTGTATAGGTTATAACATGAGAATTAATTTGAATATTTCTTTCTTAGCAGACATACCTCTGTAATCAACACCACTGTTCAACTTGACCACAACAGGTCTTCCATGGATTTGATTGATAAATTGTGACAAAGCTTCCTTGCGAGACATTTTTCCGGGTGTTGTGTTGTATCACTAGATCGACTTTTGTCTTTGCTTTTGTATTTACTAGGGATATGTAAATCGACTTTCGACTAATTGACTTTTTGTATAGAAAAGTCTAAAGCGGGGTACAGACTATCACTTTTGAATGGCCCAATTGACCAAATTTTCCTTGTTTGATATTGTGGCCTATCATATTTGTTATTCAGCATGCAACCACAAAAATATTCATAATAATTGATAAAAAAATCTGCCACTCAAAAGTGCTATTGCGTATACTGCTTAAAAATCGATTTTTTTGTTAGAAGCAAAAATCGAAAAGTGTAATGCCATGTGCAGACGGACGTTGTTCGCTCTATATATGTTGTCCGACCCGGAAATACGAAATAATTACTAAGTTCCACATACTCAGGGTTTACCCATGCAACTGTGTTGCTGAGTTCTTAGAAGAAAGAGGCATAAAAAATGAAGAAATTCAAAAGTGATTCGTATAGAGCAGCAGCAGAGTTGCTTAAAAAAGTTGTATGTGTTAACCCAGACATACAAAATTAACCTCCTTTATGAGTAGTTTTTAGAGATATATGTAATGGAACTGACAATTAAGATCTACTGGATTTAATAAATCCGGTATAATGTAAACGTACTATGAGTCACTTAGGTCAAATCTTCGAGCAAAAATTTTTTAAAAGGGCAGATTTCTGCCATAATTTTTATTTTATTTTTGTATTTTATACATTGTCAAGATAGTTTTTATTTATTTATGTCGTATATTTGAGAGTTCATTGTTGTACAAATAAAACAGAACGGCGGTAACGATAAATGGGTAGTCGGGAAAATGCTATTACCATACAGATGGCGCTGTTCACTAAATGGTGATATCAATCACTTACTGGCCTTTTAATCATGCACCATCTGATTAGAAATGTTTCCATCCAAATTAATACATTTCTTAGAATATCATTTAATAATTTTTAATTTCCTATTAAATTTCCCATGCCAAAATGTTTTCAAAATATATATGGTCTGTTCCCGTACTGCAAGAATGTACTTTACTTTTTTCTTCGATATCATAATGGAAAAAAGTGTTATCGTAGTAAAAATAGTACATTCTTGTAGTACGGGAACAGACCAATAATAAAATATACAAAAGTATTCAAAACTTCATTTTTATTCTCAATTCTAATAAAAATAACTTAAAAATATAAATTACAAAATACTCTAATTTTATTATATAATTATTATTATTATTCGTTTATTTTAGTGAATACCCTCCAGTGGTGTATAGGTTTTGTATTGATATAAATCTGGTCCACCATAGCCGTAAAGTAATTTACCACGTCCATTGGCATCATAATAGGGATAACGATATTTGGGCCTGAAAAAAAGCATTTCAATTAAAAATCATGCATACCATAAAGAAATTTTAATAAAAATACCTTTCAAAATACTGGAAATTTGGTGCTCTGGGTTGGACAGTGGCATTGGCTAAACGCAGCAAGCAGACAACCACCAAAAGGAACTAAAAGAAAATAAAATAGAAAAATTATAACTTTTTATTGCATAAAATGTTACAAAGTAATACATTTTCGGCACTTTTGAATACCGTCGTTATATCCGATAGGACATTAAATGGATGTAGCTACAAACATATTCGGCTTATTAAAAATAACGTATAAGTAATGACAATGGATCTCTATTAACATCTATCATACGCAGTTGCTTAAACTCCTTGTACATTAGAACTTTTTACCGGGTTAAGCTACTTTATGAGGATTTATTTGACATATATGCAAAGGAAATGACAATTGAAACCTACTGGGTTAACGAAATCCGGTTAAATGTAAACGTAATATTATGTAATTTATTTCTATAACGAATTCATTATTTTTAAAATACCCAATTGGATAATTATTATGTTTCTTCCAGAACCTGCAAGAATGCACAAATTTTTACTTCGATGATAATTTTCGCTTTATAATATCGAAAAATAGTACATTTATGCAATACCACTTTTTGAGTACGGGAAAGTCCAATGGTAATCCAAAAATATCGAAATGATTTTATAAAATTTTTTATTTTCTTATAGTACGTTTACATTTAACCGGATTTAGTTAACCCAGTGGGTTTCAATTGTCAATTTAATTACCTATTTGTCAAATAAATCCTCATAAAGTAGGTTAACCCTGTAAAATGTTCTAATGTAAATGCCGTTTTAGATAGGAAATATATTTAATAAAACAATTTTAGGTAGAAAATATAAACAAAAGCTATCTAATAATTATCAAGTATTAGTTTACAGACATTACAATAGAAATCCATGTCTGCTTTATGGTCCTAGTATACTTTTATTTACCAACCGTACTCGATCACTAGGCCAATCATGTTTTATTATCTTCTCACTTTTGAAGAAAAAAGAAACTAAATCCCCACTTCACTTACAGTTTCATGTCTGTGTCATCACACATCTTGTACATATTTACTCATGTATGAGTATTTCAAAAGTATGTATGCCTTGAATATACTTCCCGCCTTTTTTGTTGCCTTATACTTTCAAATAGACATTGCAAAAATTATGTAATTTCAAGAGAAGCAATACAGCACAAAAAAATCAACAACAACAGGCAAATATTCAATTATGACATACATACAAGTAAACAAGTATTGTTATTGCTACCGTTTTGCCGTTGTTGTTGTTGCTTCAATTGTTAAGATGTATCCCATCAGCTGTTATTACACTTGTTATGTGCATGATCACATCTCTTGTATTTTTTTGAACAAAACCGGCAGAGGAAAGAGCAGGAAATCATGTTGGTGTTGTTTATAGATTCAGAGAGTTGATTTTTCGTTTCTCTCGCTAAATAAACGAAATGAAAAAAACCTGATTCCGTTTAGCCTCAAATATGGGGAATGGGTCACTTAACTACCGTGAGCTTAAGAAAAATGGGTTACACACATTTAACGGACATTGAGAAACGAAAAAATACCAACCAACTACCGGTCATATGCTATTTGTTTGATTTATCCTAAGCAAAATATTTGCACAGTGGTGCTAGACAGTATTTTAAAAAATAAAGAATGCATGCATAGAGAACAAGGGAGAGGGAGAATAGGTTATGAAAATATTTTTTATGAAACACAGGAATAAAAAGTAATGTGAAATGTGGCGGGTGAAAAAAATTGGAGAATGAGAGGCGACAGGCTTCTCGGTTGGGTCTTCAGCGATTTCACGACATTTAGGCCCCATATAGAGGTCTCCTGACCAAAACATGAATCCTTTGAGAACACGAAAATTCAAAAGGGATACTAAAGATATTATGGTTTCATGGTGATTAACAACTTCTTCGTAGAAAATTGTCAATATAGGTCAATATAGAAAATAGGAATAATGTCAAAATCTCTCTCAGAGTACAAAAAAAATTCGAATAGTTCGGGAACGGAAATTTAGTAAATATTTCAAATTAGATGTCTTTACTTCAAAATCAAAATAACAGCCAATCAGAATTTAGCATTTCTGGTTACCATTTTTACTCGCCCAAATTTTTCGAGTAAAAAGTTTACAAAGAGAACGCCATTTTGTTTTGAGCTCTCTTAAATTTTATTAAATTTTTTACCACATTTGTGGGTTCAGGAACGGTTTTCGAGTAAAAAGTTGTAAAACTTGTAAAATTAGTAGATTATTTTAGGTTCTGGAATGGAACTAATATGAACTTATGTTTCAGGGTAGCCCTCATATAAAGGTATCCGAAATTAATCGGATTGGCTCTAATGCGATAGCTTGGTTTCTCAGTGATTAGCTAGCATAGTCCCCAGATAAATGTTCCGATCGATATTTAAATAAAAACCGATGTTCCAAATTTATATATATATATAATAATAATATTGGTATTCGGTTTTATTATTTATTTTTACCATTACATTTTTTCCCAACATTTGTGCACTTCTATTATTGTTCCTAAATTTCAAAATAGTGACTCCAAAAATATTTACATTTTCTTTAACCCACTGTGAACTGTATGGGGTTGACTCCGTGACACATAGCTTGCAACTAATATTTTAATAACCCAAAAAAATCAAAAAGGCACACGCATACGTCAAGGTCTTTCATACGGCGAATAAAAAAAGATGTTGTAATTTTATGTCTTATTTCCCCCGCCCCTCCCTCCACCAAGCAACACAAAACAAACAAGCGCTGCTTCCCTTCCCAGCTCAAACAAATTTGTGTTAAATCCAACAATGAATGAATGAAAGAAAATGAGGCCAACAGAGATGTCTCAAGGCAAACGAGTTAGCAGAACGACTTGGTCAAAGAAACAAATTGAATGTTTATGGATTTTTTTGTTGGTATTACATTTGATGTCAATCACCTGGTGTGGTGTTAATTCTTCAGGAAAATCCCAACAAAAAATGGTAAACTTTTATTTTCTATTTAATGTTTTTGTTTTCTTGGATTTTAATTAAAATTCATAACACAGCACAGCAGTTCCAGTAATTTCGAAAGTAAAGGTTTTTTGTGTTTTAAGTTTTGAGTGATTTTTTTCGGGCCCTCAATTTGTTGTTGCCAAAGTAAGTGTCAGTGCCGTTTTCCCCCATGAAACCAAGAGTGGTAGTTAAAGAATAACAACTACTTGCGTACATTGCCATTGAACAAAAACAAATAATAAAAAAACGACAAAATGAAAGAAAGTCAGGAGGTGTTGGTTGAGTGTTTGGCAAACGAAGACAATAAATACTAGAAGACACTTTTAGAAATTTGTGCCATGCTAAAGAAAGTTTCAATTCTTCACTGCTTTTAATTTCCAAACAAACTCTTTCTTACTAATTGTAATTGTTATTGAGATCACTTGTTAAATGAATGTATGTTTTTTATTTTTAGAAAAGGTGTTAATTTTCAACTAATCCATATAAAGAAAAATCGTCCACTTCATCTTTTATTTTTTGTTTTCCAATTTTAAAAGCGTTTTCCTTATTAAAATTTCTAAAGCAACACTTACGGGTACAAAGAATATGCCCATTTTCAACATTTTGCTAATTTATTATTTATTTGCACTTCTTTTAAAATATATTTCTTTTATTGTTGTCTTTTGATTCAGAAGACAAAACGTTAAAACGTTACGCCGTTTAACTTTTGCTTTATAACCGTGTTTAAGCTCGTTCAAGTTGTGACTAAAAATTGAATATTTATCGTATTGTTGATGACAAACAATTGCTGTGCTCTGTTAGAGTGTTTACATGAGTGTGTGTGTGTGGTAGGTAGTCTCAAGCCATCAGTCAGTGACAGACAGCAACGGAGCATGCAATTGTACAAATTACAACTACACAACAAGTAAGGCGAAAAGTGAGAAGTAATAACAAAACTATAACTGGGAGTGCTGTTGAGCCAGAGTCATGTATAAAGCAAAGCTTAAAAGAGAGACTTATAAAGAGAAAATTTAAAAGAAACATTAAGAGATTTTATTAAAAATTTATTTAATTGTTAAAGACAATTATTAATAACAAAAATGTATATACGCTAATTCGGTTTTCCTATAGATAAACCTAATTCAGCTAGTCTGAATTGAAGTTTTCCTATAGAAAAACCTATTTCAGCCAGGTTGAATTGAAGTTTTACTATAGAAAACCTAATTCAGCCAGGCTATATTGAAGTTTTCCTCTAGAAAAATTAATTCAGCCAAGCACAATTGAAATTTTCCTATAGAAAACTAATTCAGCCATACTGAGTTCAATTTTTCCTATAGAAAAGCCAATTCAGCCATACTGAGTTGAATTTTTCCTATAGAAAAACTAATTTTCCAATAGAAAAACTAATTCAGCCAGGCTTAATTGAAGTTTTCCTATACAAAAACTTATTTAGCCAGGCTGAATTGAAGTTGTCCTATAGAAAAAGTAATTCAGCCTGGCTGAATTAGATTTTCTATAAAAAACCTAATAGAAATATAAAATTCTGCCATGCTATGAAGCAATTCTTCTACGATTCTCTTAACATTGCAAAAAATTCCACATCTCTTTTACTTTCCTCTTCTCTCTATAACCATCCATTGAAAGTAAAAGCCATTCATTCTCTTGACAAAAAAAGTTATGCTCAATTTCATATAACAGCTGTTGTTTACATGAGACTCATAAAGGCATTTAAATTCGTGTTGTTGTTATTGCTGTCGTTGTCTTGTGTTGCACACAGACCGTAAAAAGACCTTCGAGACAATTCTCTGTTGGTACCATAAAAAACACCCAAACTTTGTTGGTAAAGAAATAACATTTAAATAATAATAAAAAATATAAATGAAAAATTATATTAACAATGGTTAACAATTTTACAACGTGATCATGATCACGTTCATTAAAAGGGAAATAAGTGTGCCTTGAAATGTTTATGTGTGTGTGTGATAATAACCACTCTTATAATGTAATATTTTTTGTTGCTTGGTGGTAACTGTGTGGGACGTTAGCAAAAAAATGGAAGTTACGCATGCGTAAGTACCATTCAAGTTTGTCTCCAGTGCAAATTGAGGAAGCTGTCGGAATGATTGTCTGCCACATTTTTTGTGGCTTTGTGGAAAAGAAAACAAAAAATAAATAAATTATTTGCGGTTTCAGGGGACCACCAAAAAGTGACAATAATATCTGCAATTAAAATAAACGACAAAGGGAATTTATATTTGGTATGGTATCTAATGAAACATTGAAATTTATACATTTAATACCGATTCCTCAGCTGTGATTAAGATATTTAATTCACAAATTAATCGTTTTCCAAAAAAATCTTCCCTTTAAAGAGATTGATTTTTTTGGAAAATAAAATAAAAATGTTTTCCAATCACATAATATTTTACTACTGTCAGATTTTGCTTCATCGCCATTATGTTTTCTTCCATTTCACATAATTACTTTTTGGGCGTGTCTGACTAATTTGAATGATAATTAAGTTATTATTGTTGAACAAAATCCAACTCCCTTTTATATAACCCCTCGTATGTGAAATATGTAAATGTTAGTGTTATATTCACTATTGTTTTTTTTACTTTCATTTGCGTGAGGGCTTGAATACTGCAATACGCATGCACATGCTTTCTTTTATTGCCATTAAACATGCAAACTGAAGCTGTGTCTTATGTAACTTCTTCTTCTGTTTCTTTTGCCAATTTAAAGGAACCAGTTTTTTTCGATAATACCCAAAAGAAAAGTAAAAATGTATGTTAATTGCAATGTATTGTCTTTGTAAGATATAAGTCCATAGTACAACAATTTATACACCATGTGGTACATCTATTTGAGACCTAGGGCCTTGAGTATAAGTTCATACCAGTTAGACTACTTTGAAGGGGCTAAATAGATATTAACAAATAAAGAAGGTGTAAACCACTATCCGTTTGGAATACCTTAAAATGTTCACTGTTAAAATGTTACGACCTTTAGCAAAATTTTTCAATATAAAAGTAATAAATAAATATTGAATGAAATCTATATTTGAATAGATATTACGGTCCATTAACTTACCGTTTCAAGATTATTTTATGCTAAATTTGATCGCTATGGCGCCTCAAGCGGTTCATACGCTTAGTTCCATTTTGGTATACTCTCATAAAATGGATCTTCGGTTAAACAGTCCAAGAGCCATTTACCAAACATACTGCGTTGCGGTAGGTCGTTCGGCTTCAATGCTTGCACCAGCCTTTTTTTGAAATGTTTCACACTTTAATTCTTACACGTTATTTTTAAACTATGTGGACATTTTTGAATAATGGAAATGTTTTTTCCGAACTCTATATATACAGGTATCGCTATAGTTTAGGTATTGGTATGGCCTTAAAATATGAATTGGCTGGGTTGTTATTGAGCATCTATATCTAAATCTTAAGCGACCTCAACAAGACTTTCCATAGATTATTTTTATTAACTACCGTTCATTGTACAGAAATGTTTGGCAAAAAAAATTTATATATATATGTGAGCTATATCCAAATCTGAACCGATGTCCATTCTAGACTTATTTATACCATTTGCTATTTTTCACAAATACAATTTATACCATTTACATTAAATCGGATGAAAATATATATGGGAGCTGTATCCAAATTTAAACAGATTTTTCCCAATTTCAATAGGGTTCGTCCTTGGGCCAAATGAGTTGTGCCAAATTTCATTCAATTCGGATTATAAATGCGACCTGTACTTTGTTTACAATTTAACACCAACAGATGGACAGACGGACGGACATGCATAAATCGACTCAAAAAGTGATTCTATGCATATTCTCAAAAGGAACCATGTGTCTATCTCGTTTCCGTTTGCCTGTTGCAAACATATGCACAAAGACATAATACCCTGTACCACAGCGTGGTGAAGGGTATAAAAATTACCTATTGTTCCTGATAAAATATGTTAATAAATTATAAACTATTGTTGTGGCTGTCTTTATATCTCGATCTCTGAAAAACATATTAAACCCCCATTAATATATTATTTCTAAATTCTTATAATCCTAGAAAAAAAATCTCTTAAAAATCTCGCGTTGAAGCCCTTACCAACAATTTTCTCAGAAAATCCCAACTTTTCTATTAGTGATCCAATTTGGTCTTCATTTAAGTCTCTGATCTTCCCTGTTGCGCCTTTGTACTCATTTCATTAACGTTTCACACAAGCCCTTACCAACAATTTTCTCAGAAAATCCCAACTTTTCTATTAGTGATCCAATTTGGTCTTCATTTAAGTCTCTGATCTTCCCTGTTGCGCCTTTGTACTCATTTCATTAACGTTTCACACATGTACTACATACATTCTCATCACACAACAGTTCATAGGTCAATGAATTAGTGTTAAACAAACAATTTAATTTAAGTACCTAAACAATGACAACAATTTATGAAAATCTATTAAAATATAATGTTCACACAAATATATTACATACGTACGTAAATAAATAACGCATACATTGACCAAGTTTTGATTGCTGTTTGTTGTTGTTATTGCGTTACTTGAAGTTATTAAGAATCACTGAAGCAGAGCGCGCATGTTCAGCACACATTTTATGCCGATGGAGAAAAAAATAAAACAACAACAAAAACTAAAACTTAATAAACTTCCTTGTTTGTTTACATTTTGGTTTTTATTAACTTTGTTTTGTTGGTGTTGTTTCCAAAACCAGTTGTTTATTAAAACAAATATTCACCACTTTTGTAAAAATAATAATACAAATCTTCTCTGACTATCACCTCTCTTAAAGTAATAAAGAGATCTCCGAATAAAGAGTCTGATGATTTCTCAATTTCGATCGGTATCAATTATGATGAGATGAAGTTTCGTTTATTATGAAATATGCTCTTAATTGTTCCAATATACCTGTCCATGCAGTTTTTTTTTTTAGATTTCGGTTATGGAAACTTAGTTGTAAGCCATTTGCCGATTCGCTTGTCATTTAGTAAATAAGTGTAGATCAACGTGAGCATAACAAATTTCATAGCCAAAAAAATCAAAAATATTTTGCAATTTATAAAAGAAAAAAGTGGATAAAATGAAACTAATTACCACCTGTGTGAGTTGACATAATATATAGAAGAGTAAATGATTAAATAAAAAATTTGCTATTTAAAAATGGTTTTTTTAAAACAACAATATCATCCCTTTCAAAACTAAAAATTCCAATAAAAAATAATTAGAAGATGAAAAAAAAATCATAATTCAAGGCAATATTTCTTTATATCATGTTAATGGAAGATAAATACGTGTTACCAGCGAGGTTATTACAGTCATTGTGTGTGTCATTTCTTTTAAAGGGGATAAAATAGCCATACCATTATACATTAAAAAATCATGAGTGTAGAGAAGAAAAAATTAGTTTGTTTAAAAATGTGTGTAATACTTTGAAGAATTGTGACACCAACAAAAAAAAAAAAAAATGAATATGATCTTAGAAAAATATTTTTTTAACAATTTTTTATACAATAAACAAGTAAAAAAGTGTCAGTCGGGGTTGCAAACCCAGCCTGTGGTTTGCAAAGTTCTTCGGAATTACATAGAGATTTTATTATTAGCTAAATATGACATTCCATTCGCCTGATATTGCATTTATAAATACTGAAAATTTTGACCATTCGTGCGGGAGGTAAAAGAAGGAGTGGTCCCATCTTTAGACTTAACCAAGACTTCGTAAAGATAATGGGTTGTGCAAAGTTTGGTTCATATCGGACATTTCATTCGCCGGATATTGGATTTACAAATATTGAAAATTTTGACCATTTGTGGGGGAGGTACTAAAAGCAGTGGTCCCCTCTTTCTACTTGATCTTGGCTTATTAAAAATAATAGGTTCTACACAGTTTCATTAAAATCGGATAGTCCGTTTGCATGTTATTATAAAATAATTGTTTAGCACAATTTTGACCATTTTGTGGGGGAGGCACCAAAAGGAGTGGACCCATATCCCAATCTTCGAACTTAAACTAAGTTTGGAAGAAGTATTAAGATGTGCAAAGTTTGAATGAAATCGGTTAATGCCTTCGAGAGTTATCGTGCGCACCAGTCAGCCAGAGAGACAGACGGATGGGCGGACATGTATAAATCGACTCCAAATTTTCTGAAACGGATTTTGCGTCTAAACCCAATATTTCGCTGAGGCCCATTTTCACCGTATCCAAGTGTATATACTCTTATTAGCCATAAGGCTGAGGGTATAAAAATATATCTATAATTTAACACCTGTAAGATTTTTTTAATTCCTTTCTCTCTTCACAGGTGCTCTTGCTGCTATGCTTTCAATGCCATTCCTCGGATGCCTTTATTTATCGTTTAATATCGGATCTACTATCGAATAATGTTGCTGGAGCTCCCGTTTTGCATGAAAGGACCGATTGGGATTTTGATCCAGAAGCTGCCAGAGAATCTCGGGCTATATATTATGAGGTAAACAGACATAAACAAAAAATAAATTCTATATGATAAAATATTCTCTTAAATATATTTTCCAGAAACATGGTTTCCGTGGAGAAAAATACATTGAACGCATTGGTGTTGGTGAAGATGGTAAACAGGATGAAAGACGAGCCGAACAACAGCAGAGAGATTTGGGACGTTTAAATGGTGAACATTGGATTAATTATCCAGGACCACAACGATAATCCCCTTCTCTCTACTTTTTAGAGTATTAATATTTGTTGTATTATTTTAGTTATTAGTAGACATACGTATTGTTATATATTATATCTATTGTTATATATATATTTCATCAATTGTAACTGTATTATTATATTAATATCCTTTCTTCCATTTCTATATATTAAACAATGCATAATTTTTCTAATTGTTATTAGTAAATACATTTATTATTTGTCATTGTCGTTTGTGGGTTGTTAATTACATTCAGACAATTATATTTTTCTATTCACATTAGCTATATTTTTTATTATTATAAAGAACAGACTCACATAGCCTTGCTATTTGTTTTTGCCTTGGCAAAAGGATTCAAGGAGTTCACATATACATATAATTACACAGTTATGTATATATGTATTTGTGTAATTGTATGTGTGTTTAATTGTTAATTTGTCATTGGCATTTTATGCCAACAAGTGATTAAATACAAGAGAATTTCCCTCTCATGTACATGCAGATGCCTCATTATGTATGTGTGTATAAATATACATTAGTGTGTGTGTATTTACTTGTTATGGTATGAGTTATAAATCTCATCTGGTTTTAATAAACGTTATTAGCGCATTGTTAAATACCACTACTTATTAGCTTACATTTCATCATGCAGTCACTTGTCATTATATTTTTACTTGCTCATGTGTATGTATGTTTGTAATAAGCGTAGTATACGTTATGATATGTGAGATATTGCATTTAATTTTTTTGAATGGAAATTTATTATCCATTTAGTGTACGACCTATGAACTAGCATTTTTATAGATAACAAATATGCCTTTCAATTGTTAAATGCCTATGCGAATATCAGTTAGCAATTTATCTGAAACCTCTAAAAATAGCCAGGCTGGATGTCGTGTCCTGAGAAATCCACATCAACCTAGTATGTGTGTAAGAATATTCATAAAAGTTCTGGCTTGTTATTTTCAGAGTCATTGGAAATGTAGTCTAAAAACCCTTAATAATATATAAGGGTTTTTAGAATATATTTCTAATAAAAATTCATTCTAATTGTCCTGATTTAAATAAAAAACACACTAGAGACCCTGCAAAATGTTATTATTTTAAAATCCTTGATAATGTTTGCGAAAGTCCTCAAAAATGTTCTTAAAAATCCAAGTTGCATCTGTGGGAGTCCTGTGTGTTCTCTTTTAAAAATAACCCTTCTTTTAAAAACATTTATAAAAATTCCAGAATCTAACATTTTTTTAATCATTTTTGTAGTACACACTGTGGGAATGAGAATTCTAATAAAATATGCTTTGAGAGTCTTTAAAAAATATAATCCAAACTGTGTCTGTTAAGCGATGTACACACTATCATTTTTGACTGTCAACTTTTTTATCGATTACTGACTGTCCAACAACCATAAATATTTTTGTGGTTGCCTGATGAATGACAAACATGCGAGGCCACACTATCAAACAAGCAAAATTTGGGCAAGAGTGCCATTCAAAAATGATAGTGTGTACACCGCATTAGAGTCCGGTGTACACTATTCTTCAAAACTTCAAAAAATACTTTTAAAAAATCACGCTCTGAATGAATATCCTTCACAAATATATTTTTTCTTTAATCTTTCAAAAGAAAAAAAAGAAAATTTTTAATATCCCATTAGAAAGAAAAGAAAGAAAATTTTTAATATCCCTTTAGAGACTTTAAAAAAAAATATTTATAAAATTCCAGAGCCGAACACTTTTTTAAACCACACTGTAGGAATCTTATTGTTTTAATACACGCTGTGAGTGTTTTTCAATAAAATAATTGAAAAAACCCCATCGAAAATATATATTTTTTAAATCCTCGCTTAGAGTCATTCAAAAAAAGTTATTTTTTGACAATCCACGCTTGGGGGGTATTTCAAAAAATATATATTTTTTAAATTCCTTTTTAAAATCCTTCAAGAATTATTTTTATAAAAAAAACCAGAGTCCTATTTTTTTAAATTCCTTCAGGAGAATATTTAAAAAAAAGTCAAAGTTGTGAATGCCTTTCAAATATATATTTTTTTTAAATCCATGCCTAACCTGGGAGAGTCCTACATAAAAGTATTTAAAATATCAACGCAATTGGTCTACAATAAGAAGAGTAATTGGTTTACAATAAGAAGGCCACTATAAGATCGCCAATTGGTCTACAGTATAAAAAACCAATTGGTTTTAATAAGAAGTCCAATTGGTCTCACATACAAACAAATATTAGGCACATACAAGAAGACCTGCTATGAGAAAACATATAGATCTGCTATATTAATAAATATTATTTTTCCTATAATTAGACCTATTGGTCTCCAATCGGAAGATCTACTATTTTCGGGCAAGGAAACTTATTGGAGTCCAAAAATACCCATAGGAAAACTAAGCGGTGTTCTACAGGAGAACCTTTTAGATTCTAAAATTAGAATTACAGTTGGTCTGATATATTGAATGATATGTAAGGGAGAGAGCGAGAGAGTGAGAGATAATATTACCAATTGGTCTACAGTATATAAAAAACCTATTTGTTATATTAAGAAGTCCAATTGGTCTCACATTCAAACAAGAATTAGTTGCCTACAAGAAGACCGGACATGAGAAAGCATATAGATCTGCTATAAGAAGAAATATTATTTTTCCCACAATTGGCCTCCAATCAGAAGATCTACTATTTTCCGGCAAGGAAACTTATTGGAGTCCAAAGATATCCTTTTTGAATTACAGTTGGTCTGATATTCTCTGTCTCTAATAAGAATACCAATTATATCCTGAAAAGAAGACCTATTGGTTTTCTTGAAGATTACCCATTGCAAATCTATAGAAGAATTGATTTCCAATAGAAACCCAAATGAGCAAAATCCTGGGTCCTATTGGCATCTTATAAGAAAAGTTACTTCTTCATAGAAATTTTATAAATATTATATTGAAATAATACCCAGACATTGGTGAAATTACTCATATAATCATAACATGAATGATCAAATAAATAGCATCGTTTCTGTATTTTTATACACTATCGATGTTTTTAAAAATACTTCGTAACTCTTAAAATTATATTTAAAAACCAGTGAGCGGAGCAGTATAGTCGGACGGGGCCGACCATATGATACCCTACACAACTACCACGGAACTCAAATTTTCTGCGGATGTTTATTCCGAGTCTAGGCAATATTTCGTGATATTTGCACCCTCTTGCCCGATTAGAGGTAAACAGCACCTCTTCCTCACACTGACATATTTTCCGAATGTTACGAGTATTCAGTACAGCTATTGTCCAGATTCCCTTCACCGTGGGTTGTGTTGTGATGTTCGGCTTTCATTTGTGGTCTATAGATCGACTCGAAAATAACAAAAAAAAATTAAGTTTTCGGTCCACTTCATTCCAAAATTATTATCTGATCATCACCGAAAATTATAGGCGTTGTCCTTGACCATACCTGGAACCTCATGGAACATTTTAAAGCGATCAGCGCTATAGTTCCGCTCTCTAGAGTGATAATGAGTTAATAAATAATATACGAATACGGAGATACCTGTAAATATTTAGGTGTAACTCCGACATCCGGGCACATACAAAAATATAATTGGTCTTAATTTAAAGGTCAACCACTCCTCTTGGATATAATATCAACTTCTCGGGTCTATGTCCTTCAGTGGTAAATATATATGATATAGAATACAATTTTTGTAATTTTTCACACAAAAGTCAGGGTCAATTTGACACGCAAAATATTAACCGATCTTTATCAAAACATGCATGCTTATTCTTTAGCCCGATCCCCTTCTCCATGCAAAATTTCACGATGTTCGGGCCATTATTGCGGCCTCTGGAGCGACCAGAAAAACCGAAAAAATGTAGTGTTTGGTCCATTTCATCCCCTATATATTAACCGATCTTTCCCAAAAACAATAGGGGTCTTCATTTTCCAGGACCCATTCTACATACAAAATTTCGTGAAGATTGGTCCATAACTGTGGCCTGTATCGTGTTTACAAATTATAATGGACAGACGGACGGACGACACACATGTCTAGATCGACTCAGCTAGTCGAGATATGACGATCGGTATACTTAAAGGTGGGTCTAAGACCAATATTTCGCGGCGTTACAAACTTTTGGGGCTGCACAAAGCTATAATACCCTGACAACATAGTTGTGTAGGGTATAAATATATGGTTTCTAAAACACATATTTTATTTGTCAGCTTTAAGTGTTTTGCTATTTAAATTACCCCAGCTGTATCGCCGATTCTAACCACATGTGGAAAATTGTCATATCATTGCTTGCAACAATATGAGTCGTGTTTACAACAAAAAAGTACTAATCATCAGTCATAATGTGCGTATTGTTTAGAGAATTAGTCTCATTTGTGGATAGAAAAGTAGCTGCGCGATATATGTGTGCGTCCGTGTGTATGTTGGGGGTGTTTGCATGTAAGTTTGTAGCAATTAAAAAAAAAATTGCAATTACAAAATAATTACATTTTGTTGCAAACATTAGTATTAACGGTCTCTTCATAATTTCATCATTTGTAACTGTGTCGTAGCAGTTAAGTCAGGCTATACGGTATAGGATTTGGATTTTTTTGTGTGGCTTATTGCAATATTCGTAATAATTTGAGCCAATTTTCTACTTGTAATGCAAACGACATTATGAGAAAATAACGTAGCAGCAGAAAGAACATGTTCAGCTGTGACAGTATTGAAAACAAAGTTAGCTAAAATTTAGGACAAACAAAAAAGGGGGGAAACAAATTCACACGAATTGAGTAGTAAATGTATTGTTCCACTTATTACATTTAAGGGCATCTTTCAAATGATGTTCTCAAAAATGCAATAAATTTATTAAAAATGTATTCATCTGAGACACTTAAAATCTCAAAAAAAAATTGTAATTTTATTTCATTTCCATATGTACAGAATCGCCTTTATGATGTATGTGTGTATGTAAAATTAACATTCGCCGAACATATGGCCACTGTAAAACATCCATCCAT